ATTCACAACGGTACCCTCATGACTGTCCTATGGGCGGTCGCGGAATTTGTATTTTTGACACGGTAGACACAGGCAGTACCACTTTGTTTTCTGAGGAAGAACTCAAGCTAAAAATAAAATAGTTCTCACGCTGCGTTTGACGCCCATGGCAATCTCGGTTTTTTTTATTTCCACCTCTCCTTAAACTGAAAAATTGGGAGGAAAGTTTAAAAGGACATACTTCATCGGATACGAGACTATTTTAACCTACCTGGCATGCGTTGAATAGAACCTGATGTTCGTACTTTTCAACGGATAGTGTTCGCATTAACAGCTCATAGAGCTGTTCTTTCGTCGGAGAGACCACTTCTGGTTGGGGAACGGCTAGTTTCATGGCAACAGGGCACGGTCGCTCACCACCTCGACAAATTTGATCAAATTTGATCTTCCATGCACTGATTACGTTCTCTCGGGACAAACCTTCGATCAGTTGCTGATTCTGAAACTAAGCAACGAGTTGGTAGAAACTTGTAATGAAAGTGTTCCTCCTGATTAACTTGCACTTGATGCCAACAGGGATCGTTCCTAATCTTTGTACAAGTCAAACTGCAAAATTTGAGGCTGCTAATTCTGACGGCCGGACAAGCAATCGCCATCCGAACAATCTGTGTTTTTTAGTTCTTGAAACGTGATTACGGTGCAAATAGTCAACAAATTTAGAAGCTCACTTCTATGTGGATAAATATTCCGGGTACTAAAATCCTTAGCATAAGTAATTGATAATTATTGTTATAACCCCTAACCAAAACATAAATGAGAAAAGAATGTTAGTAGTGATAGTTTGTTGTTGTAAAAACACCTGTATAGGTTTGGGCTGTTTTGCAGGTTTATTTGACCTACGAACCGTTCAACAAGGAATACAGGCCCAGAGCATTAGTACAAAGCATGGATATACATCAGACTCGTTTAAAATTGGACTACATGTTGAATAGCTGTGCACAGGGGACTTCGGTGATAAAGACGTGAGGCATATCCCACAGCGTTCCGATCAAAAATTTCCTTTCTCTTGAACAAACGAGTTCGAGTTTACCGTTTTTTGAACAAGAACCTACTATTTTCTCACAACTAGAAAAGCCATAAGAGCTTTAATGCCACACACATACAAGGAAGCTTGGGACGTACAATCCAGTACCAAAGATAGGTGAAAACTTTTGAAACGTTTTCATCATATTGCGGAAATCCAGAATAGTCTGAAATCATAACACCGGGTGTTTCGTATAATTCTCAGTTAGAATCAAATCATTGGTGATACTGTTATTAACTAAAACTGACCTGTATCTTACTAACTTATCCCAGACATCTGGGTGTCTAACACTCTGTAAAATGTAAGAATTAAGCTTATGCTTCATGTGTAATGGTATTCTTGTGACCGAATTCACAGTTGTGGTTGATTATGTCAACTACCTCCCACAGACATTGCAACAGCCATTTGGTATCCTTTATTTGACAAGTGCGCTAAACCAAGCAATCAAAGGCAGTTCGTTAGGCTTCAGGATCCCGTCCTGAAGACGCTTTCACTCGTTAATCTCACAATTGCAAACAAAATTTTATGGGCCTGTCAGTTTGGTCTGGTGGATAATATTATCGGCTCTCATCTATTGTCTAATCACATGGAGTGCCAAGAACTCCCGTAACGCCACCTTAAATGCAGTTCACATCTGAAATCCCAGTACACAAAA